AGCCTGCCCCGCCTTTTTTTGGCGGGCTTAAGGCGGGGTAGGGTAGGGCGAACGACCCGTTTTGCCACCCCTACTCATGTTTACACACCTCTCTAAGGAAGTAGTAAATTACAATAAGTGTGGTTGCACCCCATGCTCATTTTTGATGACCTAAATCACAAAACAACTCAATATACTTCACATCTATCAAATGTTGCACTTTGTCAAAAAATATGGTGCGCTTTTGTTAGCTCCCAAATTCGACGCCTAGTTTGGTTAATGAAAATAATAAAGAAAATATAATTTATATAAAGTTGTGAGAAACTTTGACAAAATTGTGAAACTTGTTTGTTTTGGTCTAAACCATTTTTTTGTACAGGGAGAATATGCTGAATGAATTTGGAAAATATTCTAAGTTTTGGAAGTTGGTTCGACAGAGAATTGCTGATGGTGTTTTCGACATAAAATTTGAATTCAAAAGAAGGAGGGAACTTTGTTCTTATCCAGATTTTTGAAGGAGACACGTGAAGCAATTTCAAGGAAAGAAGACACGTCGAGCGTCATTTGTCTTATTTTTGTAAGGAGGTCGTTAGGGACAGTTATTTTCGATCATTATAAATAGGAAGTCCTAGCGTTAGGATTATGGTGTTAAAAGTTGTAAAAAATCTCTAAAATTTCTCAAAGTATCCGTGTGCAGAGAAAAGAGTGTGTAGAGAAAATGTATGTTTAACAAAACACCATATCTTTACAATTTAATTCAGGTTTTATCTTTTTACCACAAATTTATCTTCTTTATTGCCCAAGTTATTTTCAATGCATTTAATTGCTGTTGATTAAGTTCATGAAATTTACTTCCTTTAAATTTTAAAGTTGTTAACTGTAAGATCATGAGTACTTTCGAAGTATTCACCATTTTTCAAACTTTAATTTAAGATTTACTAGCACGTGTCCTAGGATCTGTATGGTTGATCTGTAAGTAACCAAATTCTTTTTCGATTTGGAAGACCAACGAATGTTTACTAATTTTCATAATAAACAGCTTGACCAGATGTATAAGGAATGACCTCGTAGAAAATTTAGGCTTGTTCCCTCAACAAGCTTCTTATAGATACCTCACAGGACAATTATTTTATTATGAACACCTATATTCTACTTAATCTCATATGAAAATTCATGTAAGGTTCCCCCTATAACTCTTGAGTTGCATACATAGAAAGATCCAAACTCATAATGTGAGAATTATATAAACCCCAAATAAAGGAACATGTAAAAAACGAGATGACATGTGGTCTAAGATGAGAGTCATCACCTCCAACAATAGGTGTAAGGAGTTGGTATCTTCGTGCTACCTTTTTATAAACACACAAATTAAAGCATTGTCATGCTTGATCGAAGAGGATCTGGCTAATGACATCCTTTTTCGTTGATTCAATGTTCTTGATAACACGTTCACGCATGTTAACCATGACCATTTGCCATAAACAAGCACCTTCAACGAGCCATAATCCTACAAGAAAAAAAGATAAAAATTTAATAAAAGAATTTTCTAAATATACCAATTATATTGAATTTTTAATATAAAATAATTAAAATTATCTAATTAATAAAGTATATAATTTTTTCTCAAATAACCATTTTCCCAATAATTAATATCTATATACTCATCATTCCATCATAATTTTCAATATATCCATGTTTCAAAAAAAGATAAAAATGGTCCAGTTAGGACAATTGATGCTTGCTCCTTTATTTAAAATTAAAAAAATATAGAGTGTCAATTTAATTGGTGCACATATCTATATAAATATAGGAGCAAGTGTTAGTTGCCCTAACTGACCTATTTTTTTTTTGAAATATGGATATATTGGAAATTATGATGGAAAGATGAGTATACTGGTATTAAGTGTTGGAAAAATGATTATTTTAGAAAAAAAATATCAAAATATACACTCTCCCCGCCACAATCTCAATGTTACATGACTCTCATACAAAGTCAACATAAATGTGTTGATGGTCCTTCTAAAAAATCCACATTTTTTATCTGCATCTCACTGCATGTAATGTGTCTTACAATGCACATAATCATGTCGGTCCTCGACTAGTGCCTCGTGGTACTACTCAACTACCTACCATATCAACAATTCATCTCCAATGGAAGTCTCACATATCTTATCTTACATATTATGTATAATCCTCTCTAAACATCTCTAGTCCCCACTTATGTAAAAAAAACACATTTAACATGATTTTTGTGTGTGTGTGAGTTGAAAGAAGATTACTCCACATTCGGAAATAATGAGAGAATTTATCCTCTCACCGTCAAATTTAACAGGCACCCCCAAATGATGTGCTTTTGCCACAATACCCTTTATGACTTTTTACATTTTAAAATAAAATTATGTTTTCTTGGTTTTTTAAGAATTTTTTGAGTTTTTACCGGGTTTTGTGGGATTTTATGAGTTTTTACCCCATTTCTAGGGAATCTATGATTTTGGCAAAATTACACCGGGGGTCATTTGAGTTTTTTTTTTTATTGTAACAGGTTGTTCCTTTAAGTTTTTTTTGCTACAAGGTAGTCATTTAAGTTACCTAACGTTCACATCGTTGCCTTTTTTAAAAAGATTTCATTCCAAAAATGATTATGTGGCACTAACGTTGGTGAGATGGCACTAACGGTGCTGACATGGAATAAAATAGTCAACCCAAAATTGTGTCTCCCCAATAAAAATGTGACACAGAGCTTTTGAAGAAAGAGACAAAAGTTTAAGTTTCCACCACCGTTCTATTATTCTTCTCTCTCATTGTTCTTTCATGGTTGCTTCAGACCTTCATCCATCTATAATTTATGCACCAAAAGTTGTAGAAAAAGTTGTGCATAATATATACCCAAATAACATCAACACAAAGAGAACATTATGGTATAAGTTGTACAAAACTAAATAATCAACACAGTGGTAATTCCAGTGTCCATGAACAAGAAGTAATCTTTTCAAGAACTGAAATTGTCCCATTGCAAAATCTAATGCTATCACCGCTTGACGTCATTCTTATCCACATATTTCAATACCAACACGATAAAAAGTACAACCTTACTGGAAATCGCAAGGTCAAAAATCTCTGACTCTAGTTCCTTTAACCAAAATATAAACCTAACTATTCCCATCAATTATGAGTGTTAATGAAGTATCAATTCATTCTTCCTTTCTTGGATTCCATTTGGGCAAACTTATTGATTTTGAACGATTAGGAATATCAAAAGTTCCATGTTCACCGTTGGTTTTATGCTTCAGATTTCGATGCCCTCTACTTGAACATCTCACAACATATTTGGCTATTATATCACCCAAAATATTTATGCATTCATCATCTGAAGTACGATTTATAATAATTTGTTGTATATCTGCACTGAGAAGTTTGTAGGAAAGACCAATTGAACTTGCTACCTCTTGTTTATCACCGGTAAGAACCCACACCTTGATTTCAGCTTGCCGTAAGGACTTAATGGCTTCTGGTGCACCCTCTTATAACTTGTCCTCAATTCCATCGTGCTTTCGTGGTTTGACTTGTTTGTTCTTTTTGTGGTTTAATTTGGTTTATACACATGTTGGAAACAAGAGATTACAAACAATTAATTTTTCCTCAAAACTTGTTTCTGTCAGCCACTTTTATTACCACTGGTGAAGGCACTTCCACATGGACATGTTGGTTTGATTTCAGGTTGGGATGTGCTCGAAATGAAGGTTTGAGAGTTCTGACTTCGTCAATTTAATCCTTTGCTAAGGTATGAAGCCATTGATGGAAAATGGAGAATCAAGATTCATTGTTTATGGATTTCAAATTTCCCCTTTTTTTCTCCAAAATATAACAAAGAAGAAGACAAATATCAACTCAACAACGTTAACTGACACATCAATGACGTTAGTGCCACATGATAATTTTTGGAACGATATCTTTAAAAAGGGGCAACGATGTAGACGTTAGGTAACTTAAAGGGCTGACTTGTAGCAAAAAAAATACTTAAAGGACCAACCTATTACAATAAAATAATTTAAAGGACCGTTGATGTAGTTTTGTCTACAATTTTTTATCAGATTTTTCAAACAATCTATTAGTTTTTACTAGATATTTTAAAAAAACCGGTGTAAAATTAGGATTTGAACCACCCAATTTTTTAATTACACTACCAGAATTTTCAAAATTCTATAAGTTTATTTTTGAAAATTTCAAATATACTACTGAATTTTTGAAAAACCTATGAGTTTTTACGAATTTTTTAAATATACGGCTGAAATTTTAAAAAACTTAAGAGTTTTTAACGAATTATAAAAAAATGTTTAAATTTTTCAAACAATCTATGAGTTTTTACTGGATTTTTCTAAAAACCAATAAATTTTTATTAGATTTTTTTGAAAAATATATGAGTTTTTATTAGATTTTTCAAATATACTATTGAATTTTTCAAAAAATTTATAAGTTGTTAGTAAATTTCTCAAATACACTATCGAATTTTTTAAAAGTTACGAGTTTTTATCAAAATTTTCAAATCCATTTAATTTAAAAAAAAAAGAATTTTTATCAAATATTTCCAAAAACTTAGTAAATTTTTCCAACCAACGTTTTTTTTTTAAATATCAATAAAAATGTATATCGAATTTTTAGATTAAACAATCGTATTCTTTTATTCATATCAAAATTTTCAATTGTACTATCAAATAATTTCGTAAACTCTTTTAATTAAATTTTAACTAGGTCTAGAACTCTTTTTATTATTATCGAAAATTGGGAGGTGCCCGTTTCAATTTGGAAGTGAAAGGATAAAATACCCCAAAACAAACCGATTTCACTTAAGCCCGACAACCCAAACTGTAAAGGCGGCGTCACACGTTCCACGGTACGTGTCAAAACCGTCACTTGTCAACGAATTTCACTGTAGCTTTCGTTATACTTTTCATTTTCAGTTTCAAATTCCACTGAAGCTTCACTCGAACACTGTAACTGCTTGTTTCCGTCAGTGAACGGCGATGTTGAACGCCATAACCTCCGCAAACGCACCGTTCTCAACTATCTCACTTTACAGATCCAGGTCGAACTTCCGTCCAATCAGATGCTCCGCCCAATCTCTTCCTCTAGGTAATTACATTTTCTCCTTATTCCACATGACACCTTTCTTTCTATCTGAAACGGTTTCTTTTTCAGTTGACAATGCAGGGAAGTTTCTCGAAGCTTCGAAGAAAGGGAACGTGATTCCGCTATACCGTTGCATATTCTCCGATCATCTCACTCCGGTTCTTGCTTACCGGTGTTTGGTCAAAGAAGATGACAGAGATGCTCCTAGCTTTCTCTTTGAATCAGCGGAGCCTGGTCTTCAGATTTCTAGTGCCGTAAACTACTTCATTGCTTATGCTTTTTTAATTTTTGGATTCTTCAATTTTTGATGATTTTGTTGTGAAAATGTAGCGTGTTTGTTGGATTGTGTTAGGGAAGGTATAGTGTGGTTGGAGCTCAGCCGTGTATGGAAATTGTGGCGAAAGAGAATATGGTTACTGTGATGGACCATGAGGAAGGGTTAAAGACAGAGGAGATTGCTCTGGATCCTTTGGCCATTCCTCGTAGGATTATGGATAAGTGGAAGCCTCAACTCATTGATGATCTTCCTGAAGCATTTTGTGGTATATGAAATGCAATCCTAATTGTTATATATTGTATAATTTTACTATGTGTGGTGTTTCTGTTTGTTGTGTGTGATTATGCCTTAATGTTGGGGACCACTACTTAAAAATCACCTGAAACCATTGTAGTCAAGCACCAGATCTTAAGTAGGATCGGTCGGCTTGTGAAAAACCGTAAAACTCGGATTGTTAGCATGGCACGTAAGATCCTACTGAAGAGAAAAATGGTAATTTCTTACACACACACACGAAAATTATAATACACGCAAAGAAAAGCCCCAACAGGTTTTCAAAAAGCTCAATCTTTATCACGCCGGCGATGAAAACGATCTTTCTTTGATTGTATCACTTTTAGGCATCCTTAGCATGTAAGATCTTATCCAACACTCGATCATGGCCACACTGCCTGAAATGATGAGCTTCTCGTAAGTAGAAGCTGAAGCTCACCGTCCTCATCGTTCTCCCAGATAAGATGCTGGCATGACATGATTGATGTCATCTTGACAAACATGAGAAAAACGAGTATGAGTTGAGTTTTGAAGCACAAATATTCATTTTTCTTGTTTTTGAAAAATCGACATTGGTCAAATACGTTTGGAAGGGAGAAATATAATCTTATAATTTCGGAAGGTGTGTTTGTTGTATTGGACTTTCAAACTATTTCTAGGCACTGATCCACGGTGGAGCACTTTGACTACCGATCAATGTGGTTTGTCAAAGTGGCTCACCAAAGAATTTGCCCTCGTAGTTTTGTTGTGTATGCAAAGCCAGATTCACTGGTCATTTTATGCTCACTTCTTATCTTTCCTTTCGTACTTTCTATTAGCTTTTCTTTCCTTTTTGCGATTTAATGTTGACTGTAACGAGTGGACTGTACCTTCACAAAGTGTATACTGGTTATACTTGATTTATTTTTCAACTTATAAGTGTACCTTCATATGCCAAATTAAAAATGAAATGGTCTAAAATATTTTCCTCACATGCTAGAGAGTAATTTTTTTATTCAGTTCAACATTCTAGGAGAAACTGAATATTGCGTTGATGAACCTGAAAATTTTTGTTATAAATTTCCTGTTTTGTTTGACTGTGCATAGATTTCTTTTCGCAGGTGGTTGGGTGGGTTATTTCTCTTATGATACAATGCGCTATGTAGAAAAGAAGAAACTTCCATTTGATAATGCTCCCATAGATGACAGAAACCTTCCTGATATTCATCTGGGCCTTTACGATAATGTCATTGTGTTTGACCATGTTGAAAAGGTACGATTATATTTATCATGTGGTATCTGAATGAGTTGATTACTTGATTCATATTTAAGAAAGTTCTGGTTCAATATGTGACTTAATTGTTTGTGTGTGAACTGAAATCATTTACCAATTTGGTCCAGAAGAGTATTCCAATTTTTCTTATTTGACTTTGTTCCACCCAGAAAGCATTTGTGATTCATTGGGTTCGGTTAGATCGATATTCTTCTGCTGAACAAGCCCTCAATGATGGAATGGATAGGCTGGAAACTCTAGTATCTAGGGTGCATGATATAATTGCGTGAGTAAACTGTTTATCCCATTTTTTTTCATCTTGGATTAACATTCTAAATCAAGGCTAGGGATGACTTGTCTGTGTGCAGTTTCGTTTCTTTATCTACAATTATTGTTTTCAATTTCAGCCCAAGGCTGCCTGCAGGTTCAATAAAGTTAATCACTAGCCTCTTTGGTCCTAAACTGGAACTGTCAAACATGACAAATGAGGAATACAAGAAGGCAGTATTGGAGGCCAAAGAGCACATATTGGCCGGTGATATTTTTCAAATTGTGCTAAGTCAGCGGTTTGAGCGCCGAACATTTGCAGACCCTTTTGAAGTCTACAGGGCACTTAGAATTGTTAATCCCAGTCCATATATGACTTATTTACAGGTTTGCCCTTTTTGTCGGATATAGTTTTTTTCAAGTATGATTCAAAGATTAACTTGTTGAAATACATACTGGTATCAGGCCAGAGGGAGTATTTTGGTTGCATCAAGTCCGGAAATTCTTACACGGGTGAAGAAGGTAAATTGTGCAACAATTAATCAAAGAATTGGCTTTATAATTTACTCTTCTTCCTAGAAATATCAATAATTTTCAGATATAATTATTTCTCTTGGCCTTGTTCTTGTTCATTGGCCCTTTCATAAACTTCTTCCATTTTACTAGGCATGTCGTTCACAGTATGAACTTCATTTTAGATCAAACAAATATTAATAAGTGTTTCATATCTTTGTTGGCAGAGAAAAATCACCAATCGGCCTCTTGCGGGGACTGTTAGAAGAGGGAAAACACCAAAAGAAGATATCATGTTAGAGAAAGAACTTTTGAATGATGAAAAACAATGTGCAGAGCACGTAATGCTAGTTGATTTGGGAAGAAATGATGTTGGAAGGGTAGATCGTTTTCAACTCTAGGCTTATTATCTTTTATTTCATAGAAAGTTCTTGCACTATTAATGTTCACAAGAAATACTCGATGTAAATGCAAACAAAATGTCATGAACAGAGATGAAAAAGAAAGATAGCTTAGCCTTCCATGAATAATAATCGACATTACTTCTAGACCCTTAAACCACTAATAACTGAAATTCGTTGCTGCTCATAAACACTACCAAAAAAAGTGTGTACTGTAACATATTAGGTCAGTGGAGTGTTTTACTGTGTAAGATGAGAATAGCATTTCTTGACCATTGGATCTTACATGGATGGTAAAAAAAATTTCTAAAATTGTCACATGGTCACTTTAAAAGGTCACTTGTTTTGTGTTTGCTGGATTTGATGATCAAGAATGGTTCTTCTCACTCAAATTGTATCACTCATCCCATTTTGTCACTAGGCTTTTGAAGGTCTTTGTTTGATGCCTTGGTTCTAGATATGCATTCCATAGGGCTGTTTGGTTTTGAATGATCTTGATTTTCTTACACTATGCAGATTGTGTGTGTTTCTTAATCCTTTTTTATGTCTTAGTAATGTGCTTAATACAAGATGAATACGCAGGTCTCCAAGCCCGGTTCTGTCCAAGTTGAAAAACTTATGAATATTGAGCGCTATTCCCATGTTATGCACATAAGCTCTACAGTAAGTTCTTTAATGCAACTATTAATTATTTGGAATAAGTATATAGAATAATATAGATCAAATTGCAATGTTCACTATTGCAGCCAGAAAATTGAAAAGTATGAAGTGAGCCAGAGTCCCTTCTGGTTTTACTGGATTCCATTTAGTTCTAAAGATTATCTTTGGATAATAGAAAATTGTGCCTGTGTTTATATAGGTCACTGGGGAGTTATTAGATGGCTTAACAAGTTGGGATGCATTGCGGGCGGCGTTACCTGTTGGTACAGTTAGTGGAGCACCGAAGGTAAATTATACACTGGGTGTCTATAGGCTCTTCTTTTTCGTCTTCCTGTTGTAGTTTCTGGTATGGTTGGCATGGCACTTCCCTTCAATTCTGACATCCATTGTGTTGGATAAATAGGGATTGTTTTTGTGAAGAAATAAGGTGGCAGGTGGAGATTATCAATTCCACTTGTCTTTAAACATTCTGAGAAGAACTATAAGATTCAGTCTTGGTTTGACTTCTTTATCCTCAATATTTCTCATTAGCTCTGCTGTAAAACAGGTTAAAGCCATGGAGTTGATTGATCAGTTGGAAGTGGCAAGACGTGGGCCATACAGTGGTGGGTTCGGAGGCATATCATTTTCTGGTGATATGGACATTGCCCTTGCTCTAAGAACCATAGTTTTCCCTACTAATACTCGTTTCGACACAATGTACTCCTACAAGAATGTGAACAAACGCAGAGAATGGATTGCCCATCTCCAGGCAGGAGCAGGAATTGTGGCTGACAGTGATCCAGCTGATGAGCAAAGAGAATGCGAGAACAAAGCTGCAGCCCTTGCACGTGCCATTGATCTTGCAGAATCTTCATTTGTTAACAAATGAATGATTTGGGATTATCCACCATCTGCAATGCGCCTTGATAATTGACAATCATTTGCCAGGGGAAATTTGGGAGGCAGATTGTGGGATTTTTATCATCAACCTCTAGGAGAATCCTGGAAGCCATTTTGTATTATAAAAGGAAATATAACACTCTTGTTTACCATTTATTTCCGTCTTGTTACTTCTATTATTTTATTTTCATCGTATCCGGTTCATTGGACCGACTAATCTGGTTCAGAGGTCAGTTCTGACATCAAATACTTCTAACCCCATCACGGTCATAGTTGTGGGGATCGAACTATAGTCCTCTCCCAATCCAACATCAATCACCATTGGACTAATTAACAATTGGTTCCTATCTTGTTACTTTAGCTGTGGCGCAACAATACCATTTAGGGTTGAATGAATCAATTAAAGAAATAGACAGCTTTGTTTCGTTTTGCATTTGATAGAATTGAGTTTGAGAAATTAATTTTGATTAAAAGTGATTTGATTGTTAATCGATATATTTTTGGAATGTACACTTAAAATTAAAATTGATTCTTATTAATATATGTTTGGATAGTTTATATTATAATTATTTTTAAAATAGTAATTAATAGATGTATGATTTATGATGTATTTTTTGTCTTATTATAGTAAGGAAGACACGGTAAAGGTGTTTTCGATTCTAGAACTTTCTGCTAATGAATGTTTATGGGTGGACGTCGATATTCTGAAGTACTTGCTATCATAGGCGCCATAATGACTAGTATATAGAAGTCTTCTCTCAATTGTTCTTTGATGAAAGAATGGTTGATGTTGGCCATTTTGGTGCTTGCTAGTTTCGATGAGAAATTCACCGTTGTGTTATGCTCTTTAGGCACACGTGTGATTTCATATGATTTGAATGAATTAAGTTTATCTTTGTCCACGGTCATATATTTAGATAATAATAGATCTTTGGCTTTTGCGTCAATATATTTAGATAATAATGGATCTTAGACTTTTGCGTCTCATTTGACCTGTGAGACCAATATCTGAGAATCTATGCACAATTTGACTTCTGCCCCTGATGTTAATGTAAGTCTCTGATGATGAAGGCTTCATATTCAACTTAATTGTCGGTGGTGGAAAAGTCAAAGTAAAACTTATATTATCACTCTTCCTCCTATCTCTCTCAAGGATGAGGTCAGATTCACTCCCTTTTCTATTTGATGACTCGTTGAAAACAATCCACTTCATGCAAGGTTTGGATGTGTCAATTGTTAATTTTGCAATAAAATCATATATATATATATATATATATATATATATATATATATATATATATATATATATATATATATATATATATATATATATATATATATATATATATATATATATATATATATATATATATATATATATATATATATATATATATATATATATATATATATATATATATATATATATATATATATATATATATATATATATATATATATATATATATATATATATATATATATATATATATATATATATATATATATATATATATATATATATATATATATATATATATATATATATATATATATATATATATATATATATATATATATATATATATATATATATATATATATATATATATATATATATATATATATATATATATATATATATATATATATATATATATATATATATATATATATATATATATATATATATATATATATATATATATATATATATATATATATATATATATATATATATATATATATATATATATATATATATATATATATATATATATATATATATATATATATATATATATATATATATATATATATATATATATATATATATATATATATATATATATATATATATATATATATATATATATATATATATATATATATATATATATATATATATATATATATATATATATATATATATATATATATATATATAATTTGATGGACTTTCAAGTTCAATGGACATTTAAAACTCTAATATTTTGATGGACCACTTTGTCATTGCTCTTCTAGATAAGATCTGAATATCACATACTTCAAAGATTGGTCAATGTGAACCACTATTAAGTGGGATAAAAAGAAACATCATAATTTCCTTGAAGCTACCGTCAAAGTTAAGGCAATCTATAGTGAGTTTCAAACTATGCTAATGTCTTGGAGATTGATCAATACATCTTTATACACATTTTTTCATTATTATACTTAGACATTCCTACCGTTTTTTGAGTATTTTTACTATTTTAATGTGTTTTCATATTTAAGTTTGTTTTTACCTTTATTTTATTTCCGCAGCTTATTTTCAACTTTAGCGGTTATTTGATATTCGTCCACTGTTTGTATCATAACTGAAGCTGTAAGAACCGGAATTGTGCATTCTAATAGGCGTTGGAAAGTTAAGACAAAGAGCTATAACTTTTATGTTTGAGACAGAGGATGATTCAAAGTGTAGCAGGTCCAAATAATTCATTGAAGTCAGGACCCAAAATCTGCCGTTTGAAATATTTAGTTTTGGGCCTGATTTTTTATGTTTTTCGACTCAGTTGGGTTAAAACTAAAAGTGTTGACGCTTTGTTAAACCTAACAGCCGTACTAATGTCAAAAAAACCTTCTTTTCACAAATTTACTTTACTTTTTACAATTATAATGGAGAACTAATTCCCACGGGCAAATCCTGTTGTGTACGGTTCCATCGCTTTGAGGTTATTATAATATCAATTTAAATTCGATTCCTTTCAATCCTTTTCTATGAAGTCATTTGCTTAATTTAATTGCAATTGTTTGCTTAATTCGATTGTGGTCATAGGATAGAATTGATTAAATTCGATTGTATGCATGTTCTTAAATTTAATTGTGTGTTATCGTTTGCTTAATTCGTTAACTCGTCATATTCTTAACCGTTTGCTTAATTCGATAACAGAAACAGAATTTGTATGATTTTAATAAGTGCTTGTCTGATTAATATCATAATCGAACAGGATTGAAGCCGCTTAGGGATTTGGTATTATAATAGCCGATGATAAGTTGGAATTCGAATCAGTAAGATTAGCCGTTTTAAATTATCTGATAATCACTTTTTTAATCACTTTTTTCTCTTATTTTATAAATCAAAACTTAAAACCCCCATAAACCTTTTCTTTAGTTGGTGGAAATAATACAAGAATCCTTGTGAGAACAATACTCGAGTTGTCGTTACCACTAACTATTTTTTTAAAATTACTCGTTTTTGATCCGTGCACAACAGCGGATCAGAGATAAAGTAAATTATGCTCTGGTTGCTTAGGACAACATTGACTGCTTCTACTAATAACTTCTAGTATATGAATAAGGTGTCCCAAAACTGGGGTGAGGTTTGAAGAAAGTGTCTTTTTGTTGTGTGAAGGCTTCTTCTTGCTCTGATGACTAATAAAATTGTGCCTCTTTCCTTAAGAGCTAATAGAACGGAAAGGCGTGTTGGGTAGACCGAGAAATGAATCTTATATAGGCAGTGAGCATACTGTTTAACATCATGATTCTTTGTTTGATGGAAAATATTGATGTGCACGATTTGGGTTGGAAAGAGTTTGAGTTAATCTGTTACCTAACTCATTCATATTTTAATGGGGTAGGTTCCTTGTCCAACCCATAATTTTACCATCAAAATCAAACATAACCAACTACCAAAGTTAAAGCAATCTTATCAATCTTATGATAATGAGTTTTAAACTATGTTAATGCCTTGTAGATAAAGTAAATTATGCTCTGGTTGCTTAGGACAACATTTACTGTTTCTACTAATGATTCCAAGTATAAGAATAATGTATCCCAAAATGTAGGTCTCAAAAGGAATGATGTTTAGAGAAAGTTTCTTTCTGTTTTGTGAAGGCTTCTTCTTACTATGATGTCCAATAAAATCGTGTCTCTTTCCTTAAGAGCTAATAGAACGAAAGGGCGTGTAGAGCAGACCGAAAATGAATCTTATATGGAAGGTAAGCATAGTGTTTAACATCATGATTCTTTATTTGATGAACGATATGGGTTTACACGGTTTGGGTTGGACCGAGTTTAAACTAATATGTTACCTAACCATTCATATTTTAATGGGGTGGGTTCCTTGTCCAACTCGTGATTTCACTATAAAAATTGAACATAACCAACCTACTCATTTACCCCCCCCCCCCCTCCGTTCCACAATGAGTGATCCATTTGAAATAAAAGAGTGTCCCAAAATGAGTGACTAATTTCAATTTCCAATGCACCTTTTCCAATTCTACCCTCTAATTAATATCATTTTCATCATTCTCAATATTTGATAAGGGTAGTTTAGTAAAAATATCATTCTCTCTCTTTCATTTATTTCTTTTTCTTAATTTGTGTGAAATGGTCATCTGGGCCACTCATTGTGGAACAGAGGGAGTACGGGTTAAGTTAGAGTGGGTTCGTGGATTGTGCATAAATTAGATAAAAAAAACATCATGTAATTTAGGGCGTTGTGTTCACTATTGTACAAGTCACTCCAGATTTACTTAAAGGATCCGTGTGTAGAGAAAAGAGTCTTGGGAGAATGTACATGATGTAAAAACACCATTTTATGCTTTAATGAAATTTACTTTCACTTTGTATCAAAAGAGTTTATCTTTACTTTCTTGCAAGTTATCTTTTCAGCATTACATCATGTCACTTTTAAGTTTCCTTTAAAAAGTCTTTAGCCTTTCTTTCGATTTAATGCCTTTATGTTTCTGTCGAACCATACCCTTAATGTAAGCTTTTCTTTATAAACATTGTCGAAGTATTCAGTCTTTAAAAAATTAACATTTAGCACATGTCCTATGATCAATATGATCGATCCTGTGAGTCACCAAAGTTTGATTTGGAAGATCAGCGGTTGTTTTCTAATTTTCACAAGAAACAAATTGGCACGCCCAGTGGGACAGTGCTAAAGCCTATAAAGTTTTTTTATTAAGATTTCGGAAAAAACTGTATTTGTTAGTCTTGTCTTTG